TTTTTTTATTATCCATCTATTGCTGGGCATATGGAATAATTCCATAATTTAACTATCGTGAATTGTACTGCTATAAACATTAAAGTGGTTGTATCACTATAGTATGCTGATTTTAGTTTGTTTGGATAAATACCAAGGTGTGGGATAACTGGTGACCCATAGAATTTTGAGCATACAAATGCAATTTGTGTAATTTATTAAACATCAATAGATGCATAATACAAATAGTTTTAAGAAATATTGATTTAAGACTTTTAGACAGTATTTTTATGATATCATGTAAGAATACTTATTTTAGAAAAAAAATGTTTTTGTTTACTAATACTGCATTTGCTGTAGTAGGTTGAATGTACTACCCTGGGAATAATAAATCTACTCCTGATAAATTTAATTATTTTAAAAGATAATGTTGTCATCTTTAGAATTAGAAACATAAAGTTAACCCTTTTGTAAAAATGTTTATGTCAAATAAATATTTGTAAAAATTAAATTTAAAATGCAATTAAGTAATCTTGAATTTTTTTGATATTCTGTGCTTTGAAAACCCCCCTCACTCCCCCAAAGGCATTTTAAATGTTATTTTATCTCCTCTGTCGACTGTGTCCTCAGTCTCTCTTCCTCTCCTTGTATATGTTCTTCTGTGCTTTCCTTTCCTTCTCCCTTGACCCTTTTTTTCCTGTTTCCCTCCATCCCTTTCTTCTGTCTTGGGTCTTCCCCATCATTATTTAAACACCCCATCTAAGAAATAAATTTAAAGGTGAATGAAAGAAACAAGGAAATGAAATCTCACCAGAATCCACTGCCCCCGCCCCGCCCTTGCTATTGTTTTCCCTCCTCCCACTCACAGCTGAGCAAGTTGGTGACATTTGCTCTGCATCTATTCTCCATTACCTATTCCCTCTTTGACTTTAGCTAATATGGCACACAAATGTCTCTATTCAGGAAAATATTTCTCATTATCCTCCATTTGAATGGGCAACTCTCTGGTCCCATTGGCTTCTCAGCAGTATTTTACCCTAATTACCAACTCTTCCCTCTGATGTCTCATCTCCTGCTCTTTCACCTACCTCAATTCTTTCAAGTGTCTATTCTCCTCTCGTACCCTTTATAGGCTCATCCCACAACTAAATTCTTTCCCATTATCTTCAGTGATTTTTGTCCCAGTAGCTGGTGTATATTACCATTCATATTCGAATAACTAGAGCATTTGCTTTCAGGGGAGACTCCTCATTTCAGCTCTAGACAAGAACTTCAAACATCTCTATTTATGTTTCTCAAAGGCACCTCAATTACCAGCTTTTCATTCCCATAGCCTCTGCCTTACTTCTTCCACAAACCAGCTCTCTTCCAGGCAGAACTACTTTTTACTGAATATGACTTCTGCAGGTAGAGTTCGGTCTTTTTCTCTTCCCATAATGGGATAGATTTCTTTTTATTCAGTTTGCTTTCTTTCAGATCGCACAAGCTAGCAGAGCCCCTAGTCATACTCGTAATATAACACTATCTAGTTTTAATTATTGGGTAGCTCTCCACATTGTTTCATTCATGTTTTTTTATTTGTTTATGGTCTATTTTCTCCCATGAGAACATGGTTCATTTTTTAGCTTGGTTTATATTTGGTCTCAATGTGGCATACAATAGGGACATCATTTATGCTCCTTGAATGAATCAACAAATTGTTTTGAGTCACAAACTCAAGTTAGCATTGAGACCAATTCTTATCATATCCAAATATCCACCAAGTACATACATACATATATAAACACATACATATGTATATGTTAACTGAAATACCGATCAAATCCATTTATCTCTGTCTTTAATTCCACTCGTGATCTTTGTGCATTATCTTGAAATTCATCCTCTTTTCAGTAATCTGTTATCTTTTTTGAAAACAAATGTGTTCATGCTACTACAGTTTGAAATTATTTAGTAGCTTTGCATTTCTTTATTAAAATAATAAAGAATTTTTATTAACTTAAACAGAGCCATTCTTTCCAGGCTTGTTTAGTGCTCTTCCTCTCTGGAATTTAAAAATGTCCACATCCTTTCCCCTGTGACCATCCTGATACTCCCACTGAGGCATGTTATTGTAGGAGATGGATCATTGCTGGATTCTAACGCATGACCAGGGAAGCCTTATCCAGTCCTTTTCCCACCTAATTTAGGTGTTTTTTTTTTTTTCACCTACTTTGGCACTATTAATTTTTCAAATCTCAATTCAAAGATTTAAAAAATTCACTTCTTCAACTTCCTATAATTCTCTCTTATCCTCCAGACTAGAGTATTTCCTTTGTTATAAGCCATTTTAGTTCCATTTGCTTTTCTTTCAGATCATTTATTTCAATTTGAAATTATGAAAAGTATTGTGGTAAAGGATAATTTTAAGCATTGTATCAAATGAGTAAAGATTCAAGCCACCTTGGATCCCATCATCTATCCTGTGCAAAGTCACTGAAATAGACTCTTAGTTATGCAAGTATTAGACAGAAAGGGTGTGACAAGATCTCTCTTTCCTTCTTTACTTCCTTTATTCTTTTCTTTAAACTTTGAAACATAAGCAGAATTCCTTAGAGAAGTTGGACCAAATTTCATAAGGCTTTTAAGGCCCTTTTCAAGGAAAGACATAAAAAAATCCCCACCCCTGCTCCAAAACTGATAATATCTAATCTGGAGAAACGTGTAAACTTAACCCATTGCACTGTCAGGAAAAAAAAAAAAAAATCATTTTCCTTAACAGTGAGGCACCTAGGGGTCAGAAAGAGGAAGTCAAGACTGGCAATCTGTGTTCAATACAATGACTACTGTTCATAGGTGTGGCTAGTTCCAATAAACTATGCATCTGGGTTTGGGTATAGCTCCTGACCCAGCTGTCCTGGCACTTCACTGAACTGTGGGAAACACATCTAATAAGAAAGGGAATGTGAATTGAAAAACTGTAATGCTGGAACTCAGAATGAAAAACCTGTCTATCTGGGAATAAAAGTAGACAAACAGATACTGTTCTGCTGAGCAACAACATAACCACAAGCACCTTTGACAGCAATGGAACAGTCAGAGCTTAAGGATGAATAGACTTCACTTTTAGAGAACAGAACCCTTTGTGGATAAGTAACAGCCAGTATTATTCTTGGGAGCATGTTGGAGGAATAAGAGAGAGGAAGACTCAGAGAATCTGGATTTTATGCCAAGAAAATTAACTAGAGTCAGTGGGCCACATCTATTACAAATATCCAGTTTTTGTATTTGACTTCTTTTTTTTTATTTAAATCTTCATACAGACCAAAGGTAGTGATATGGTCCACTTTACTCATGATTCCCCACAGTTTGTTCAAGGTTTGACAAAATTATTTAATGAATAAGTAAACAATGGGAGGTGCATGAGTTAAATAATTACCAGTATTATAATAATCTCTTGTAAACTGTTCTATAAGCAGATGAGGAAGGGATTGATTCTATCTGTGTGGAGCAGAAGGCACAAAGGAATCTAATGAGTAAAATCTTGTCATAAGACTGAGTTCATGAGATTTTTTTTCAATAAGTAGTTCTTCATTTAATTACTCACCAGTGAGTGAGATATTCTGGGCTAAACTTCCCAAAAGAGGTATAAAAAAGAAATAAAGGATCAACAGAACACTGTGGTCAGTATTTCACTCACCCTGTTCTATAATACTTGGCACTGTGTAAATAATTCCTTCCTTTCAGAGCCAAGTCATTGTGAGTTTGTTATTTTAGATCCTATTAAAAGAGTTTTAATAAATATAAATGGATTAGTTTTTCCAGGGTGACCCCAAGATATAGTTAATAACTTTCTAATGTGTATTTATCAGAAAATTGACTTCAACATATATTCTGTGAAGAAAAGTAGGGGTAGTTTCAGAGTTTTATATCTAAGTTTTTACTAACATTCTTAAATTTTATTAGCAAGTCAATTAAATATTTAATCAAAGAAATCATCAGGATTTTTTTTACCATTCCATTTTTTTAGAAATATATTTAGGAATATCTCTAATATTTAACTTAATTTTTTCTCTCAATGGGAGAATAGCTGACCAAATCCTGAAGTTATAAAACTATACACCAAGTAAAAAATTTCTAAAGGTAATGAGAATTAATATATTTATAAAATAATGTCAAACAATGGGATTGAGTAGCAGAATAATATATGTATCATAAATATGACTAATTTTGTGTAATATATTTTCATATGGTTGTTTATATATGGAAAATATATTAAGGAGCATTATCAGTAAAAATTCAATCTATAAAAGCCACCAAAGTAGAGAAGGGTATGATTTAGAAGGTGACAAATATGAACATTGGCTTTTATACTTTACATTTCTATGTTTTTAACTTTTTAAAGTAAGGGTTTTTTTTCTTTATCTAATATAAATAAACATGTGAATTTAAAACCACATAAAATTTAAATAAAATGGCAATAATTATAATTTTTGGATTATAGTAGAATATGAGGTAATTTTTCGACTATAGGATCATCAGCTTTTTTCTCCTATTTTTCATTTTTTTCCCAATTGTCTTGATACTTTTATTGTTCCAATAGAAAAAAAAAATAAATCATTTACAGAAATTTTAAGAACCTATCAAACAAAGAAGGATTGAGAAGAATAGTACTTATAGTTTCACCAACAAAAAACTGACATTAACAGTTTGGCAAACACTTTTCTTTCAATATTTCAAGCCCCCCCCCCCCCATAGAATTTTCTGTTTTGCATGGACATAGTCATTAGTTATTCAGTTTTTTTAAAATTGCAAAAATAGTCATGCCCGTTTAAAAATAAACTGTGCAGAAACAGAGCAAAAAGTGAATATGTATGTGTACATATATACATCTATTAGGAAAAAATGAGTATATATATATATATATATATATATATATTTTATGAAGCCATATGATATATGGCTTTCTCATACTTAAACACAGGTGATCTTTTCTGTTCCAGAATATTATACCACAAAGTTAATAATGACAAAGCACCTACCTCCTTCTCCAACATCAAGCCTTCTGCTCTGAGGTTCTTTTCAAATGTGTTTCTTTTGCCATATTGTATATTTGTCTTTCTATAAACCAGGATGTAGTCAATTCGCTTTTTGCCATCTTTAAATAGAAGTCCACTAGAGGCTATGTAATTCATGTCATTCTGTAAATAAAGCAACAATTGTTAATACTGTGAGTTATATAAGTGTTCATTTTTGTTAAAATCATTAATGATGTGATATAAAAATGTGTTTTTAATATTTCAGACTCCTATTGCGATATAGAAGGATAATTAAAGAAAGCATGCTGTCTACTATAGGAGACAGACCAGCAAGTGATCTTTCAGGATTTGAAATTAGATGGTCTGATTCCTGAACTAGGGGTTCATTGTGCTGACATGAGTATATATATATATATATATATATATATATATATATATATATATATATATTTTTTTTTTTCAGTAAGGCTTTATAAAATAATCAGTGAATATATGGTGTTTTACTAATCTTTTTCCAGACTGAAATACTTTCTATACTTTATCTCATTTAACTACTTTCAACTTGTATTTCAAAGTTAGATACTAAGGTGAAAGTATTAATCTGACACATCTTTCCTATGTACACACATAAATACACCACAGAGAATCTCCACATCATCTACAATAACAAGACTGGCATCTTTATTAGAATAAGATGTACTCCATCTGTGTAAAAATATGTCAAAACATACATGACACGAGAGTATAACTAAAAATAACAAATAAGAAAAAAAGAATATAAATTCTAAGAAGTGAAATCATCATGTGGCAGCTAGCACTCAGATCAGGCATTACTTTACTAGACATACACTGAACTGATACCAAAAACAGACAATAATTCCTGAGTTACTTGCTTCAGAAAATATTTACTTCCAGTATAGATAAAGCCAAACCAATAAAAATAGCTTATTCATTAAAAATCACCACTAGTTCATCAAGACTGCTTGAAAGCCCTCATCTTGCTGTACCCAACAACCCAAGCTGTTTTTCATAGACTCTGACCAAATTTTTTACCAAAATTTCTACCTTTTAAGACTGACCCCAAAATGACTCAGCTCAAACCCTATAGCCCCTTGAGAACTCTTCCCCAAATTTACCCTTTTAAAACACTACTTGGAATACACACAGGTGGTATTCTCAGTTGCTATACAGAACTTAAATAAAACCAGGTTTACTGGCCAACACTTTTCCTAATGAATTCCTTTGGAAGGTGTTAGCTGTATGTTGTCCAAGATCACAGAAATCAGAAGTTGAATCCAGTTTCGCCTACCTCCAGGTTTATATTCTTAGTTAATATCTACCCATCCTTCTTTCTCTACTTAACTTCCAGCTATTTTGATAGTTATGCCAACTCTCTATTTCATGTTTCCCATATAAGCATTCTTGAAAGTCAAAACACTACCTAACACCTGGAGAATTATCAGATGATTTTAGACAAAGACATCTCAGACATCTTTGACAAAGACTGACAGTGACCCATATATGGACCCTTTTAAATAAACGAGTGACTCTTAGAGACTGGGAAGGGTGCTAAGAGGGAGGAGGGATGGGGGAGGAATTGAGACTAGAAGCAGGGTGATTGTTTGCAATTAATAATAATGTATACATGCATGGAAACATCATGGTAAAATACCATCTATTTGTACAATAAATATGTAATAATAATAACAAAATAAGTGATAATCAGAGTGAGCTGGCATCCCCAGAGGAAAAAACCAGAAAGCCATTCAGATGAAGCAACAGAAAGTATATTTGCAATATTGTCATCAACGGCCACAGGTTAGATGGTCTCAGTAGCTTCTGATGGGCTGTGTTACTCAGAGAGAAGAGTTTCAAGTGTGAATTCATAGTACTAGAGATGGCAATGGTCAAGAATAAGAAGGTGTTACACAGTCTTTTCTTCAGTGAATGCAAAGTGATGATATTTCCAGGATCATTTTATTAAGTACCACAATAAGTCTAAGCAAGCAACCGAAACTATGTGGTTGCATCATCATCATCAGTAACAATAACAGCTATCACTTATCGAACTCTTAATATGGGCCCACACTATACCAAGTGTTTCATCTGTAATCCTCATAACCCTTTGAATTATAAGCTGACAGTAATGTATAGAAGCCAAAGAGTGACATCAGATTTCATAGAAAAATAAATAATAAATATCACCAATTTAATAACTTATTCACTACTATGTTAAAAGAAAACAAAAGATGCAACAAAATTAGACATTTCTATGACTGAGGTTTCTGTAGTTTTGGAGGCCAACAACTACAGCAAGACAATACATGATAGGGATATTGAGTGGCTTCTGCTTTTACAACTCCAGAGATTTATCTCCTTAAAGTCACCAATGACATACTTTTTGATGTATCCAGTTATCAATTCTCTGTCCTCTTCTTACATGACCTAGCAGTAGCTGAATTACTTCACCCTACTTGGAATATGTAAGGAAAATAAAAATGACACAGAGACAAGATGCAGAAGCAGGAAAAAATGGCTGCTCATCCAAGTGGCCACCTTTATTTATATCACTAGGTTACATTAGGTCATTAGTGCCATTTTTGTTTATTGTATCAGAAAGGTTTCTTATTCCACAATTACACTCTACAGTTACAATATGCAATGTCAGGAGCTTTGTGTAGCTCTCAAGAAACTCCATTGTTTAAAGTTACTGTTAGTGGGCAGGTCCAGGGTCACCAGAGCTTGGTGATACATTGACGTTATCTAGTAAGCAAGTTCCTTTATTCCCAGGAGCTATGTGCTTGAGATAAAGGTTGAATATGATAAAACTAGCACAGAGACTCCTCATGCAGGGCATTGTTACAGCAGCCAGGCATTTCCTAGCAGCCAGGCATTCTGTGTCTTTGCACAGAAACTTTCTTAGCCACCAAGCATATCATAGTTATAAGGCTATCACAGACTCCAATCCCAAACACAGAACCCCTACAGGTATATCCTTTTCCTTTGACTCCTACTACACCTCATTATTTGAATTTCTTTTACTTGAGATGGTTTCTATCTTCTGCTGGTTGGCTAATGGACCAGTCACTGGTTCTCTTGATTTCTTCATCTACACTCCTTTCCTAGCTATTTTATCCAGTCTCATGAGCTATAAATGACCATTTATATGTTGACAACACAAAATCAATATTCACATGCTTGTAGATCCAACTACTTTCTTGAGTTCTTCACTTGACTGCCTATGGATATATCAAAGTTAAGTGTCCAAATGGAATTCCATATCTTCTAAAAGCAGGTGCTTCTTATAACCTTCATTATTCTAATTGATTGCAACACTATCCCTTCAACTGCTCAGACCAAAAGTCTTTTCTGTTTCTTCTGTTTCACCCATCAAAGAAAACTGTTTAAGATATATTTAGAATTTTACCACTTCTAGAACTTTCACTAATACCAGTATGGTTGAAACCATAATTGCCTCTTTATTGGATTATTACAGTTGTCTGACACATCTCTTTGCTGATATGCGTATTCCTCTCTAGTCTGTTTCCAACCTGCAATATCTGAGTGAGCTTCAACCTTATAGAAGACCCAAAGAACTCCAGCCCTCCAAAATCTCTCTGTGTTCCTCCTCATTCTTCACCCTACTTTCTCTAATCTAGTTTTTCTTTGCACCTACAAATTTATAACCTGCTAGTTAACATTAAATACTTTCTTATTATTATCTTTTGTTTACTTACTCTCTTATCCTCCTAGAATAATGTTCTATAAAGGTAATTTTAAAATGTTTTGTCACTGAGTATTCAAGACATCTAACCCCTACAACAAAATATATAGTAAGCATCAATAAATATTTCGAAGAAGAAGGAACAAAAGAAAGTAGGGAGGAAAGAAGGGAAGAAGGCAGAAGTTAGGAAGGGCTAAGAAGATTCATAGTTGTACATAATCAGATAGGGTTAAATTAAAGAATATAAGACAAAAAATTTAAACAGATCATTTCATGCAATGAAATGGAAGATGCCATAAAAAAGCCTATCAACAAAGAAAAGCCCAGGACCAGATGGAATCTTGGCAGAGATCTACCAGATCTTCAAAGAAGGACTCACACCAATACTTCTCAAATTATTAGATGAAACAGAAAAGGAGGGAACCCTTCCAAACTCATTCTATGAAGCTAGTGTAAATTTGATACCAAAAACCAGACAAAGACACATCAAGGAAAGAAAACTCCAGACCACTATCCATCTTGAACATAGATGCAAAATTCTTAATAAAATCCTGGCAAAGTGCATAAAAGATAATGTACCATGATCAGGTGGGGTTCATTGCAAGGACACAAGGTTGGTGCAACATATGAAAATCAATAAATGTAATTCATCACATCAACAGACTTAAAGACAAGAATCACAGAAATACATTAATAGATGCATAAAAAAGCATTGGACAAAATACCACATCCCTTCATGTTCACAACACTAGAAAAACTAGGGATAGTAGGAACATACCTCAACATTGTGAAAGCTATCTATGCTAAACCTAAGGCCAACATCATTCTAAATGGAGAAAAATTGAAAGCATTCCCTCTAAAAACTGGAAGATGACAGGGATGTCCACTTTCACCACTTCTATTCAACATAGTCCTTAAAACTCTAGCCAGAGCAATTAGACAAAAGAAAGAGATTAATACAAATAGGAAAAGAAGAGCTCAAATTATCCCTATTTGCTGAGGACATGAGTATACATTTAGACGACCCAAACAACTTCACCAGAAAGTTCCTTGAACTTATAAATGAATTCAACAAAGCATCAGGATGTAAAATTAACACCCATAAATCAACTGCATTCTTATACACTAATGACGAATTAACTGAAAGAGAAATCAGAAAAAACTATCCCATTCACAATAGACTCAAAAAAAAAAAAAGAAAGAAAATACTTGAGAATCAATGTAACAAAAGAGGTAAAATACCTCTACAATGAAAACTACAGAACACTAAAGAAAGAAATTGAAGATGAACTTAGAAAATTGAAAGATCTCCCATGTTCTTGCATAGACAGAATTAATATTGCAAAAATGGCCATACTACCAAAGTGCTATACATATTTAATGCAATTCCCATTAAAATTCCAATGGGCTTCTTCACAGAAACAGAAAGAGCAGTCAT